TATAATGGCCATGTCGAATTGCCTCTAGTTTCTCTTAGTCTGCAAGCCAGCAGCGCCAGGTTAGCGGAAAATGTGGGTTCGAATCCCGCATGAAACCTGGACTCACTGGATTCTGTTCTATTAAAATTTTCTTTAGATTTAAACATCTAGCAGTTCAATGCTTAAAAAATATAAATATAATAAGAAGAACCTTTTTTGTCAGTTTAAATTAAAATGTAACGTAAAATGTATCTGAAAGCTAATCAGGCTAATCATTTATAATATTTTTTGGCGTCCGTAACGCATTACCATGCATATGAATGAACGTCATGTGTGTCTGTTATCGGCCTCTTGTACCACTGTGCAAATAGCATTCAGCGTTATCAAGGCAAGATGGCGACCAAGTAAATCAATGTAACCTCAATTACTTATTAAGAAAGGTCTCGGTTGGAATTTTCCTACGATTCGGTAAGAACTATGAAGCGACGGTCTTCACAAAAAAAATGGTTGCCTGTAAAGTCGGTTTTACGGGCGAAGATTTTACGTGACAACGTCTTTTTCTCGGTAGAATATTTATTGATATGAATATAATTAAATTGCACAATAGGAACAAGGAATTGAATGAAAATAAGAATTGCACAAATTTTAACTATAGAAATATATTTTGTTTACTAAAACATTGTACATGTAAACTTAAACTTAACACGAGAGACTCATCGTAACGTTACCGAGCGTTACACTTTTTCATAAGTGACTCCCAGCCGCAACCTAATTTAAGACGTTGTCACGTCAAAATCAAGAGCGTAATTTTGTATTAATGTTTCTATAAGACCTTTTCTGTATCGCGTAGTACCTGTTTTAGATAAAACGTTTATCATATAATAGATTTTTTTTTTATATAACTACTTACTTATAAATTTACAGCTATTGAAAATAAAATAACGTTAGAATGAAAATTATTAGTTTTTCATTTGATAAAATGAAAATATCAACTCCAAAAAAAGTAATACTCATAATCATGTGGTAAAATATCGGAGAGTCTCATAAATTAAATTATTATCAGTATGTCTTTTAATGAATTACAAAGAAAAATTAATATTTATATAGGTGTTCATAAATCCCATTACTTTTACTATAAATACTTAGAATGGGTAATTTTATCCTTAACAAAATCAGTGATTACAACGAGTGTCGGGTAGTGTCATACACTACCCGACATTGTATATTGATCCCTATCGACACTCCTAGGACAAAACTATTGGGTTTAATATGGAAGTGCATTTCCCACAAGTACAAAAAGGGAGTTGATTTATCAATATTTATTACTATCATACTAATATTATAAAGGCGAAATTTTGTGTATGTAAGTGTGTATGTTTGTTACTTCTTCACGTCTAAATGGCTGGAGCGATTTTAATAAAATTTGGTAATGAGTTAGTTGACAAATTGGATTAATACAAAGGCTACGTTTTACTGCGGGAAAATATCCCTAATAAACCGCGGGTAACACCGCGGGGCACAGCTAGTTATTCATAAAAACGAGCGGTGCCAGTTTCGAGCAAGGAGTAATATTTGCGAAGGTGTCCTAACGGTTTGGTTAACGGTAGCGTTCATTTGCTATTCATAGACCTACCGCGTATAAGACGAATAAGAATTTTCGTAGGAGCAGCCCGAGACGGAACTTTTTACCGTACTCTCTGTTCGACAGCTCAATAATATGCGACCAAAAAATAAACGTCACAAAATTATCGAGAACTACTTAACGTGCACAAGCCACGCCGGAGGACCTACCTATCAACATAACTTTACGCTATATCCCCAAACAACCAGTGACACCACTTTCAAATGCCGATGCCATGATTAAAACTCAATTAAAGAACTTGCAAATTTAAACTGAAAACTTACAAATTAGGTACACATTTATTTCTTTCGTATTGTAAAATATCAATGTGGATGAAGGAAAGAAAACCGGACAAGTGCCAGTCGGACACGCCTACCGAGGGTTCCGTACAAATTTGTAGGTACGCATTACGTAACATAAACGGCCGTATCTTTTTTTATGTCAACTTAGAAGTTTGATTTCAGTACTGCTTCAAGGGCCATTGACCTGAGTGTATGGTTTAAATTTTAATACCTCCACGCGTTACCGAGATAAAGGGTCTTGACGGACAGATGAACAATAAAGTGATCCTATATGGGTTTCTTTATTTTCTTTTGGGGTACAGAACCCTAAAAAATCGCTAAACTACATTTATCAATCATACGGTGTATTATTAATAATCAAAACTTCAGGTTGGCTCTAAACTTTTTCATGTGACAAAATACCATCAATTTGTTAAAGAAAATAAAAAGTTTCGATATTTCTACTTCCTATAGATATATCAGAGATAGTATTTATGTACCTTATTATTAATTTTATTCCACGGAGATGTTTTCTTGGAATTTTGCCATAATATCTTAATCTCTCTCTACCTATTAAGAGAAAAAGAATTATATTTTAATGTTGAAACAAGAAAATTTCACAAAAATTCGTAGAAGGTAAATAGAAAAGTCCCTAAAATTTTACAAAAGAATTACACAGGAACTTAAAACATTCCTATTGCTTCTTTTCGTCAAATACTTATAAAGTCACAACATAAATGAATAAGTAATTTTAAATTAAAAATAAAAACAAATTTTCCTTTGAAAAATTCAGAAGTCAGCAAACTTTTAAGCTAGTTGCACTTGTGACATCTGTTTGGTTCAGGAGTTGTTATAGTATTTTACACTTATCAAATTTACTAAAGAACTCATTCAATCTTGAAATATTTAGGTTTTATCTCAAATTAATCTTTTCTGTTTGAAGTTTTTAAAAATTGCGAGCACGTGTTAGTAGTCTATAATTCATTCACCTTGCCAGGTGGTGTCATCATTCGCACTCTTCATGCATATCGACGCTTGGTAACGTGAGAATGCGATACATTGCTTCAACAATTTGCTAATTAGCAGAGACGACGCCCACCCCCAAGTCAAAGAGAACTTTAATACTAGGCCTTAGGTTTTAATTTTACGCACGCTTTCCAGACGGTTGAATGGTCATTGTATGCGTAAACATTAATCAATGCCATGGATACGATTCCAAAGGTCGTCAAGTACATTGACAATCCGCAAATCTTCAATTAACTAAATAGCTACACAACTGACCAGAACAACGCAAAATTTGTAAGGATATTTTTTATATACACCGTGAATTTAGAGTTACCTAAGAAACTTAAAAATCTTTTAAGTAATTAAAAACAGAATAGTTATAAACAGTAAATGTATTACACCCCCATATAAAAATATTGATTTATTATCGTTCACAAAATATCCTGAAATGGTGCTAATTTGTAAATAACATGCCTATTTTTTATTTATATTAATTTACGACGATGAACAATGTTAAGGTTTCATAATTGCAAAATTATTAAGTTAAGGCGGAGGAAATTTTGGAAAAAAAAATTGAAGAGATTTTTTTTTTGCGGTAATATAACTTTTACTAACCTAAGTACTTTCTCAGTTAACTCAAAATTCACATTAGGTATATATTAAAATAGTTCAATATCTTGTTTGTTTTCCTTTTTTCTACAGCTAGTGATGCTAATGTACACTGCATAAAAATGGCTAATTAATTATGAAATCAATGGCATAGCATTTGACTATCGTTTATATCGGTCGCGTCATCGAGGAATACGATAAGAATGGCTATGGCGCAGTTCTTGCTGAAATGCGTAGCAGTTCCTAGAAGGTGTGTGTGGATAGTGCAGGTAAAATTCACAGGAACTATTTGTTAGTATTCATTTGAATGAGAGACAAGTCATCAAAACCCTTATACAATTCAATTGATTAAAATTACAGTTGAATATATTTTGTGAAAGTTGCATTAATGTCATCACAGGATAAGTTTTATGGAAATTCGAAATATCAATAATACTATTTATATCTTGAATTGAAATGAGTCAATGGATAGACTGGCAAGTAGAATGAAATTTAATTCCATAAATTGGTACATTGTGTATCTATAATTATGGCAGAAAAATATAAAGTTTGGAAATGTTTTTTTTTTCAGTCTTTATAAAAGTAAATCATAGATCAAAATAAAAGCAAACAAATTGAAGAATATAGAAATATGAAATACGCCGAAGAAAAGATCATCATATGTATAGAATTTTGTTTTCTAATGTAATACGTAATCAATGGACAACAGCCAAGTGATTCATTTCAGGAATGCCCTTAAAATGTTCGATGTTCGAAGTTGGCGCTTCTTAGAAAAAATCATACAGCGAATAACACTTTCCAGAAGAAAATTTTCATATCATAGAAAATCGAGAAATCATTGCCGTCATTAGTAACAAAAAGTTGAGTACTCTTATTAGATAGTTATTGGAACTACAATCAAATGTATTCTAAGTTGTAAATACGAAATTATGAAAGATTGAACCTCTTTAAGAAAATATCTGATGAATTTGCAATAGTGTCAACATGATATATATATATTACAAAAACAGGTTAATACAGGTACATACAGAGATGGATCTAAGCCCCGAGTTTAATTCTACTAAATTGCAACCCAGAATTGATATACCTACTTATGTTCGTTTGTCAATTTATTTATTTACTTAAGTGTTAACTTTATTTAATTTCAAAAAAGTTATGGATGTCAAATTCTTGTTTGTTGCACTTGACATCATCGACTGAAGAAAATTGATGCTGCCATATTTATCGACAAATTTTGATAGACTAGATATCACTGTAGCTTGCAGTCATTTGCCTCTTTCTGCGAATGCACAATAATAGTAAAATCAAAAGTGCTGTGAGGTCAAATTCTAAATGTAAATTTTTAATAAATAAGCATAACCAAGTGGCTCTGCCTGATGCAAAGTGGCACCACAGATTCCTGTGATGAAATAGTAATTCTCCTGCCTACCCCGATCAGTTACTTCGAGGCGATCCAATTTCAGCGGGGACCTCCCTACTGTAGAGCTACAATTTGAAAGTCCTACCTTCCATCCAGCAGAAGAGTTGCTGTCGCCCTTATCCTTAAAGTATGGCACGTTCTGGACCATCCACTCGTAGATCTGGGACAGGGTGAGCCGGCTGTCCTGCGCCGAGGTGATGGCCTGAGTGATGAGATCTGCGTAAGATAGGTTGCCCCATGCGTTCCGACGGGACGAGTTTTTCTTGGCTGTGACAGCCGTGGATGGGAGTGGTGGAGCACCTGGAAATATGTTATTTGATTATTTATAAGCCTGCTTTGTTATGAGGTTTTAATACAATGATCAATTAAAAAAAATGGATCTTCGTCTTTTTAATTGACGCGCTCAGCGAAGTGTATAAAATTTAATGCGTCAATAGCGAGTATATTTTAACGATGTTTATGATTTGAACTACTCTAGAATAATTATTATTTTTATAATTATAAATTTTACCTACTGGTGAAATAATTTTCTAAATCGGTTCAGTAGTGTCACAGATTGTTTCCTAAAAACAAACTTACTTTATCATTTAAAAAATAGTGAGAATAGAGTATACATTAGGTTTAATTGTGTCGCAAAAAATCATAACATCAATTTTAATCTATACTTAGTTAAAAGTTAACTAATATCTTTCGCGTGCGGCCGTATGAATATCACTCATAAAATTATGAATGTACGAACATACTAAATTATTATCAGTTACTGACTGGTTTAGTAACCCTAGGTTAAAGTAAAGTCATAAATCTAACCATTAATCCAAATTGTAAACATATTACGGGTGACACCTGCCATGACTAATTAAGACCAGTCATAGTAATTGCTTCAATTACAGTCTTATTACTATATAATAAGAATATCTATGTAATACTCCTTTTTCTACATTTGCAACTGAATCTGTCTATATCTCTACAGATTGATGAAGGTTATAAGATTTTAGATAATACTAATGCTCATCTCGAATTTATATCTCAGTCTTATCCTATTGCAATAGATCAATCATGTTTAAAACAATTTTCTATTACTTTTAGTTAGAATTACGCGTTCTGAATTATTTATTTATTGATATAGTGTTGCACATTTTTCATATGATTATGAGGAACCTTAATCACATGACCAACATATGGTTTGGTGTCATCATATTATTTATTTTTCGACCAGCTACCATCTCAAGATATATGGGCACATCCCTAAAACAATGATTTAGTATTATTTCTTTAGTTAATTATTTATATTATAATCATTTTAATTATAATACATCTCCCTCATTAGTTTTTATACGGCACATATTTAAATGATAATAAAAAAACCAGCCAAGTGCGTGTCGAGCCAGTGTAGGGTTCCGTAGTTGCTTGTCGTTACGACAATTTGAACAGGAGTCTTTATATATGAGAAATTGAAAAAATCTATTTTTAACCAGTTTTTTTTATTTGTTTTTCAATGCAAGGTTTTACCCTTCAACATCATCTATGTCACTATTAATGTTTTCTTCTACTTTTCAATAGGTAAGAAATTTTCTTTAACCATAGTGTCCATAGTTGAACGACTATTACTTTTAAACCATCTAGTCTATCTGAACCGTTATAATTTTCCTTAAAAGTTCATAAAAAGCACTATTACCATGAATTTTTGCATGTTTCCTGTAGGTAATCTGTAGATTACCTTAAACTTAAAAAAACATTTGGTATTTTAAATAACATACGAAAGCTCAAATACTGCACTACTGAAGTACACGTTTTTTAGTTATCACAAATAAATTTATACAAATAAAAAATAATCGCCGAAATGTATGTGCGGACATACATTTCAAAAGATTGCACCAAATTAGATAGTTCTTTTTTATTGTGTTCATTATAAGGACAATGTTTGTATATAAGAAAAAAAAAACAGTTTTTTAAATCATATAATGTGAAACGTGATTGATTGAATAAGACAGAAGATTGTGAGAGCTCTTCAATATATTGACAAAACATCTATAGCGGGCATAAATAGTTAAACCTTTAAACCAATCTTTCAGGAATGTTGATTTCAGGAAATATACACGAAAATGATGGTTCGAAGTACACTTGGTCGGTTTGTTTGGTATAAAATAAAACTTCAAGTTTGATGTTGTGTAACCTATATAACGTACGCAACGCTCTCCACACGAGTGTAAATTGACACTTGATGGTTTTTTTTCCTTTATAAAAGTTCTGTAACTTAGCTTCTTAATAACAAAATTACTTATTTGGTGAAATTTTGAAGCATTATAGACACCTATCAAGTATCCAATGACGATAAGTTGGGCCATGGCAACGCTCTTGTATCTAATTTAATACAGACATTGCTCGGTTTGGTAACAAATAATTATGGTACGTCATTATCTGAACTTCAAAAAAAAACCTGGGATTTTCCATTGTTGTAGAAAAGCTCTAGATTTTTTTTAATATAAATATTGTATTATACTAAATTTTAATATACTCGTAAATATATATAGTAAATCAAACGAGAATCAAATGACGCCAAGTTTCATAATAATTTAAATATAATTTAAAACTGATGACTTTTAGATTAACATTTTGACCTATACTCCCAGTTTCTAACTTTTCTCTTATTTTCATCATAGAATTAAAATTTTACACAAAATATTATTGCTAGTAAGTAATCTCATTCGTATTATGATACTATTATATAAAGACAATAGAAAATGTGTAACACAGCAGATGCGTATATAAATCGTGTTTTATCAATAGTTCGAAGAACTATTTGGACAAAATTAAAAAAAGGATCAGCCGTGTCAATCTAACATTTTGGAGAAAAAAGAATATAAAAGCAGTTCGATTTATCGGAGTCAGTTTTTTACCCAACTGCGCACGCAGCCAGCAGCGCTAAGCACGACACCCAAATAAGGTATTGTGTTTATCAGTCTATATATACAGTCAGGTCTTAAGTATTGTCACACAGTAAAAACTTTTCTTTTAGAATGCTGCTCACAAAAAAGTTTATTGAATTCGAATTTCGAATTGTTCATGAAAATAAAAATATATACTTTTTAGAATTTTACTCATTTTTAAATATTTAACCGCGTTGCAGTTATTGCGTTGCATCGTTGCGCTTACGCGCCAATTCAAATTTTTGACATGCTGAAAATTTTGAATATAACCAAAAGATTTGTTTATCGTACCATCAAACGATACAATGAAGACTCTAGTGTAGATTACAGGTCAAGAAGTGGTCGCCCTCGGTCTGTTTGGACTCCAGCAGTGATAAAAGCTGTGAAGGCGCGAATTCAAAGAAATCCCAAACGTAAGCAGAAACTGTTGGCCCTTCAGATGGGGTTAAGCAGAACCACGGTGAAAAGTGTTAAATGAAGACTTAGGGCTTCGGGCATATCGAAGAAAAACAGGACATCCTGGACTGAGACTGAAGAGATGCCGCGCTTTGTTGAAGCGGTACGCGGGAAAAAAATATCGGGAAATGCTTTTTTCTGATGAAAAAATTTTTACCGTAGAAGAGAGCTACAACAAAGAAAATAATAAGGTGTACGCACACAGTAGTGAAGAAGCGAGCAACCGTATTCCGCGTGTCCAACGAGGTCATTTTCCATCCTCGCTCATGGTATGGTTGGGAGTTTCTTATTGGGGCTTAACAGAGGTACATTTTTGTGAGAAAGGTGTAAAAACGAAAACAGTTGTGTATCAAAATACAGTCCTGACGAACCTTGTGGAACCTGTTTCTCATACCATGTTTAATAACAGGCACTGGGTATTCCAACAAGATTCGGCGCCAGCTCATAGCGAAGAGCACACAAGACGGGCTGGCGGCGCGTGAAATCGACTTCATCCGGCACGAAGACTGGCTCTCCTCCAGTCCAGATTTGAGTCCGTTAGATTACAAGATATGGCAACACTTGGAGGAAAAGGCGTGCTCAAAGCCTCATCCCCATTTGGAGTCACTCAAGACATCCTTGATTAAGGCAGCCGGCGATATTGACATGGACCTCGATCGTGCTGCGATAGACGACTGGCCACGCAGATTGAAGGCCTGTATTCAAAATCACGGAGGTCATTTTGAATAAACTTTATTGTCATAAGAGTCTATGTTTTGTTAAGTTCATTTTGGTATATAAATAGTTACATAATGAATAAACTTGTTTCAATTATTTTATATTAAACATGTGACAGAATTTATGACCTGACTAGGTATGTTATATTTTTGTTTTATAAGTATTCAACTACCAGATATTTAAATCTAAAGAAAATTTAACTAGAAAAAAATCGGCGCGGACAAGGCAAATTTGTTTAGATTTGAACATTTGCAATCAAATGCTTAAAAATAAAATTATAACTTTAATTGCTATTTCTTCTTTTAAATGTTTAATGCTGAAACATCGCAGAACAAAACACATTATGAAAAATCTTGGATCAATGTGAAATAATTAATACTAAAGTAAAAATAAAACATTAAAATTCAGTTAAATGTCAGGAAATATCGAAATGTAATGGAAGTGAAATTGATGTTATAAAAATTAAAATTGAACTTAATAGACATTTCCAGTTACCGGCTTATACCTACGTCAAATATAGTATTATTTACATTATGTTGGAAATATTTAAAGGAATGTGAGAAAATATCGATACCAATCCATTGTACGTCCTGAGCATGCTGTGGTAATCCACCTTTGATATAACTACGTCACTATGGATTTAAAGGTAGCACTCTGGATCTCGCTGTGTCATATTTGAGCGATAGGATCCAGAGAGTTGACATCAATGGCAAAAGATCTCCAGGGTCTTTAGTAAATATGGGTGTACCTCAGGGCTCGATTCTTGGTCCTTTCTTGTTTTTAATTTATATAAATGACCTACCTTACTTTGTAAGGGATAATCACGAGATAGTATTGTTTGCAGATGAAACTTCACTTTTATTTAAAATTAAAAGAAAGCTACCACTGATTGACGACGTGAACGATGCCATCTCTAAAGTAGTCCACTGGTTTAATACTAATAATTTACTTCTTAATGAAGGTAAAACTAATTGTTTAAAAATTGATTAGCCAATTTCAAGCAGACACAAACCAGTGTAACTATCAAAGATAAGAATATGTACCTTGTGGACACTACAGTATTCTTAGGCATTACACATGATTCGAAGCTTCAGTGGGGCCCACATATTGAGAAATTGTCGAGGAGACTGAGCTCTGCAGCCTACGTATTAATGAAGATACGTCAATGAACTGACGTAGATACTGCTCGATTAGTTTATT